AGATATAAAATTCCCCCTCCTATTGCATTTTTCCCCCTCCAAATGGCACCGACCCCCTTCCCCCAAAAGTGAAAAAAAAACACTGATGACAATTTTTATGTCGCACTGTATACAATTTGTTAACTGATTGAAAAGTGGTTGTGAAATTTTGAAGAATAGGAAAATGGGTCAGTAATGGTTTGTCTACCATACATACTAATAATTCAGGTAAAAATTCAAAAAGTTGTTGCATTTATTAGCTGAAATGATGATATTTGCAGAATTGTAAAAGAAAAAAATGTTTTATAATTCTACCGTCAGTTATTGTAGAAAAATATGTTAGCTGATCGGAAAGTGGCAGTACGGGGATATACCAAGAATTTTAAAGACGGATATTTCTGAATGTGATATGTAAACCATAAACTTTTTAATTAATTTGAAATATACTTTAGAAGTTACCTTGATTACCCCACATTTTCTGAATTCTATAAAAATGCTGAACCGATTTTCCTTTTCTTTTTTCTAAGATGGCGGGAAATGTTTAGCCTGGATATGTTCCGATTAAACACGTATTTTACCGTAAAAATAGATGGATACGCAGTACTAATAAAGTTTTTATATGGTTGAACACAACTAAATATTTTTCTTATCACATCAGCTGCAGTAGATTAATTAGATTTGAAAACATTAAGATGGAATTAAAGCCGTGATCTAAAGCTTCAGGAAAAAAAACTTATAATACCTTGTTGTGTAGATGTATTGATAAAGGGACTCAATAAACTTAATATAAAAAAAACTTTTGAAAACCAAGTATTAATTTTACATCCTACATTTATATATTACTCTGTACTGCTCACACCATTAACCAGTTTTCTTTTATGTTGAACCTTCATTAGTGTTTGAAATTATTTTTTGTCCAACAGGATAGCGGTATTTCAAATGAATCGTAACACATTTACTTTGGTAAATTGGTAAACTCTTTAGTCTAGTAAATCAAATGTTTATAAAAATAATTAAAAACACTAAGCCTGTTAAAATTTATTATCACGTATTTACAAAAATAAATTGGTCGCGAGGCTGCACCGTGCCTGACCAATTTATTTTTCTAAATACGTACTCTACATCTACATCATATGTCGGCGCAATCACACTTGATTATAATGTGACGGGTGGTGCAAGGTCAAGAAAAAAAAATATACAAGAAATGATAGAAAGTTAGAAGAGGTTGGAAAGGTCAAAAGAAAGAGATATATTAGAAAAAAAGTCTGGCCAGCTAGATTTTGCTTCTTCAACCCAAACCTCTCCGGTTACTGTGGCCGCGGCCGGCACAGCCTTCGATATCACTAGTGGGTACTTGTAGCTGGGCCCCTAATGGTGGATTAGAATGTGAGGGATGATAGCCCCTGCTTGAAGGATCAAGTCGGGGGCCTCTGCAATGGAGGCAGGTAGGCTGTTCCAGGTTGTGGCTGTACAAGGGAAGAAGGAGTTCTTGTAGTACGATGTAGGTGTGGATGGTAGATGGAACTTTTTGGAGTGGTCACTTCTAGTGCGGCTCGGGGCAGGGGTGAGATAATTGCTGACTGGTATGTCCACAAGGTCATTGGTGATCTTGAACATCATGGTCAGCTGGGCTTTGGTTCGCCGTGACTCTAATGTCTCCCACCCCAAGTGTTGGATCATGGAGGATACGCTGCTGGTGTTGTGGTAACGGTTCGTCACATCCTCTAAACCATCTTGAGCTTGCGTGTAAGGTCCTTGGTAGAAGGGTTCCAGACGGTGGAGCAATATTCAAGGCCTGGTTGCACGAGTGACATGTAGGTTGTGCTCTTGACCTGATTGTTGCTGCTGCGCAGGTTGCGTCGAAGAAAGCCAAGTGTTCTGTTGCCCTTCTTCACAATCTTGTCAACATGTTGGTTCCAGGAGAGGTTTCCAGACATATGGACTCCGAGGTACTTGCTTGTCGAGTCTATCTTGAGTGTGTGGGCTTTCAAGGAGTACGGGTATATGATGGGGTTCCTCTTCCTGTGGACCCTGATTATGCTGCACTTCTCTGGGTGGAAACTCATGCCCCAGCGTTTCTCCCACAATGGCAGCTTCTTCAGGTCATCCTGTAAAATGTGGCAGTCCTCTTCAGTGGTGATTTCCCTTCAGTGGCGATTTCCCCGGTATACCACACAGTCGTCAGCAAAGAGCCTGGCCTTGGACGTGACATGAAGTGGCAGGTCGTTGATGAAGACCAGGAAGAGTATGGGTCCGAGCACGCTTCCCTGGGGGACTCCGCTGATAACAGGTGCTGGGTCGGACGTTGCTCCATCAACAACTACGCGCTGAGTGTGGCTTGTGAGAAATGCCTCAATCTACTTCAGGGTATGGTTTCTGATGCCATAATGATGAAGCTTGGCTAGCAAGCGGCTGTGTGGGACGCGGTCAAGCGCTTTAACTTTAACCTATACTAAAAGAGCATATTGGATTTGATGAATGTAATAGTCTCTCTAAAATCAAAGGTTATGTGTATAACACATAGTTATACCCTTTATAATGTTCAGTTAATGGGTAAGAAGTGTGCAATATACAATATTCTAACATTAGCTGAACATAGAAGGACCAAAAGTGTGTGTAAATATGCAATAAAATCACTGTTGAAAATCTATCTTTAAATATTTGACGGAACCATTAAAAATATGATGCGCTAAAAATAATACGGAAACAAATCAGGAATTTTTTTTGGATGCACAGCATCATATTCACAAAGGCATAGCATTTGATATAGAATTCCTCACATCCTAACTCCAAACAGTGAACATTTAGTGTAAAAACACTGTAGGGGATATATTATTTCTTAAATTATAAATCAGGTAGGCCTATAGATTTGTAAAAATATTTACATCTACAAAATGCCTTTCAAGAAAACTATATTAAGAACATATGAATTGTTTACAATAGTATGTGATAATATAACCATTACATACAGTACACATACATAATTATAATAATGCCAAAGAACTTGGGCTTATTTTATCCTTTTAGGAAAAAGTTATTTTTATTATAATCAGATATGTAACTAGGGAGATCTATTACGCAAGTGATTATCTATTTTATGATAGATGTACGATATGTAGACAGTGGAACCCTGCATGAAGCTAAATATCAGAATAGATTTGCCTTGCTTTCAATTTAGTACTGACCATGGATATGTCAATATCAAGATGCTAGAATTATCACAAAGACATCAGTACAGAGCTAGATAGGACATCATGAATGTGTAAAAAGATTGTTGGCTAGTAATTTGCATACATGTATTAAAATTACCAGTACCAAGTTTTAGGATAAAGGTATAATTGATATTTTAAGAACTTATACTTCCAATTTGAACATGTCATTGGAAATGCCTTTTAGACAAGTCCACTATAAGTTCACTTAATTTCTTTACTTTCATTTAGACAGATAAGGCAGCACAGCTCAAGTCTTCTAAAGTGTAAACACCAGAGGGACAAACAAAAATAATCATAGGTGGTTTAGATAAATAGGCTATAATATTTGGCAAAACATGTTGCTAATGTACACTGACAGTAGTGTACATAAATTCAGAGAAAGCTGTAACACCATTTTTGACTGGTCTCCACGGGCCTAATATAATTTTCCTAGATATTTTGAGGCCATGTTGTGCTTTCATTTAAACAGAATATAAGGATCATAATAATAATGCAAAATAATTTCTTGAATTTCGCATGGCTTAAATACTTTGTATACTATGCTGCATATACCGTGAAAAACCAGACCACGTTCAAATAACAATGTATTTCTACATCATAGATGGCTAATTTACAATGTACGTGTTTTGTTATGCATTTTGTTTTTATGAAATATTTTATTCAAATGTCATTACTTCAATAAATAGTTAAAAGTACCCTGCAATGTTACTTTATACTTAAATTACTTCTTACTATGCAGCTTTAGTGTAGCCTGGTTTCTTTGGTGGTTAAGTATTTTACATGCTCTAAATGCATTATTTAGACATTCTAACACAGGTTTACCTTTTCTAAAGGAAACATGTTTTTCATTTCCAAGTCATATTGTGTCTTTAAGTATGTTCAGTCTAAAATTGCTGGGTTTTCTTATGAACTTGTCCTCAATAACATTTTGTGTGATTATAAATTCATTATACAAGTTGCTGACAGGACATACAAAAAAATATGGCCTTCCTGGCATTAAAATAACCCTCAACTAGCACCTAGGGTCATACTTATCTCATTCAGGCTATTTTCCCCCATATATCTTGTCAGTAACTTGTATAATATTGCTAGTCTTGCATTGCCCTTTCAGACTTGAACCCAATTGAACATCTTTGGGACAAGCTTGGGAGGCATGTCTGTGCTCTTTTGCTTGCCGTTACTAGCCTGGCTGAGCTCTGGCATGCTCTTATAGTGAAAAATGGATCAAATCTCAGCATTTCAGTAAAGCATTAGGTAAAACAATGCCAAATGTATTTGACAGTACATTGGACTTAACTGTTATTGGGACTTCTTGGTCAAGATATACTGTATGCAGTTGAAATCTTTACCAAAGTAACTATTTTATATTTCCCGAAAGTTTCAGCTGAAAATGTCAATTATTAAATGAAACAATAACTTTTTTCTATTGTGATTATAAATATTTACTAGCCTATGATTTAATGATAATTTAAGTCATCTCTCTTGCTATTGAACACAATATTCTCTTATGTCAAGTTAAAGATTTGTTTGTATTACATGTATTATGTTTCCATTAATTTCAACACATGTGTATAAAGTAAAAGTATGTTTACCATAAAGTACAGTATATCAAATATGCTTAACTTTTACCCATAGGTATACTGCAAAACCCAATTTTGATGCCTTTCAAAAATCATGTCCAATGGTCATAGCTGCTAAAGGGCATTCTAATGGCACAGAAATTTTCAAAGGGGGGGGGGGAATAAGAATATACCAAAGTGCTATGCCTCCACCAGTTAAATCTTGACTATTCAATAACAAATCAATCAATTCATTACATTTTTATTGCCAAGAACAAAACATATATTCAATAACAATGTATTTTCATACCCCAACCACAACTTCTTGCATATAAATTAATTAATAATCTATTATTTTTCAGACTTTACACTGTTCTTTTTTGATTTCTTTTTACTTTGTCTTCTTTCCCGCCTCCTCTCTGTTTTAGATTTAGATCTGTTTGTATTTGGTGGCTTCTCTTCTGGTAACTTCTTGTTCTTTTTTGCATGTGTAAGTGCATCTCCTTTTGCTTCTGCAATATGCAATAGAATGTGTATAAAAATAAGCACACTAGCCATTATAATTCTATCCTTTTCTATCCTTTACTTTAAATCAAACAAGAAAGAAAAGTTAAAGAAACAAGCAAATTCGTTGAATTTATATCCCCCGCCGAGTACTGGTTATTAATACACTTGTTACTATATATAGTAACAAAATTGCCTATGATTTCAACTGATTATGAGTGTCACGTGACCTATTATGTGTTTGCGGCCCGGGGCCGAGAACTAGTTATCAGCCCGCAGAACATGTGCACGTGCACAAACTGAAACAATGACGTCATATTTTACGTCATCAAACAGTTAACTGTGAAAGTGAAAGTAGGTTGTCAGCACGAATCGCTTTATTTTATTGTGAGAGCTTAAGCGTATTTAGTACAAACACATATTTGTTACTATTGAATTTGAAGAAATAATACGACAAATTCATTCCGAAAAAAAAAATGAAAATAAAACTTGCTTCTAGATTCTACTGCTTTGAACACACAAACAGTAAACATTCTTGTATAGAACAGTAGAAGAGTACAGTAGACAAGAAATTTCAAAAGTAGATCCTATTTGTTTGTTGTTGTTTTTTTTATTTTTGTTTTTTTTTGTTTTTTTTTTAAAATGCTACTAGATCTATTAGATTTACCAAGTGTATTAAAGACATTAATACACGTCAGAGTAGGGCCAGAAGGTGATAATCGGCCCTGAATGAATAATGGCCCTCGGGTCCATTATTCATTTTGCGGGGCGATTATCACCTTCCGGCCCTCTCCTGCCGTGTATTAACCTCTTATTATTAACACAACAACTGAAGACATAAGGCTTTATTTATATATTAATCATGGCATAAACAGTAATATTCTTTGAACTTGATAAATATTCAGGGCAATAACAGAGCCATAACTTTGTGTTAAATAGTAATATCTGGAAATGCCAATGAGATGAATGCATACTACATAACTAATCAAGGGCCATAAATCTGAGTTACAAGTATCTGACCGGAACAAGGCGACTATATGCACATCTCCTCTTAGTATCCCATAAAGTTTCATTGAATTCCAGCCAGTAGTTACAGAGAAGTAGCACGGAAACGGTTATTGCTCTGGTTGTATACTGCCTAAGTTATCAAGGGTCATAACTCTAAGTTAAAATGTCTGACCCGAACAAGGCGACAACATGCGCATCTCCTCTTGGTATTGAAGGTTCCAATAAAGTTTCATTGAATTCCGGCCAGTAGTTGCAGAGAAGTAGCGAGGAAATTATATTTTTCTATATGGATACTGCATAACTAATCAAGGGACATTACTCTGAGATAAAGTGTCTGACCCCAACAAGGCAATGATATGCGCATCTTCTCTTGGTATTGAAGTTTCCCATAAAGTTTAATTTATTCCAGCCAGTAGTTGCAGAGAAGTAGAGATTTTTGCTCTATATGCATACTGCATAACTAATCAAGGGCCATAACTCTGAGTTTAAGTATCTGACCAGAACAAGGCGACAATATGCGCATCTCCTCTTGGTATTGAAGGTTCCCATAAAGTTTCGTTGAATTCCAGCCAGTAGTTGCAGAGAAGTAGCGCGGAAACATTTTTCCTCTATATGCATACTGCATAACTAATCAAGGGCCATAACTCTGAGTTAAAGTGTCTGACAGGAACAAGGCAACGATATGCGCATCTCCTCTTGGTATTGATGATTCCCATAAAGTTTCGTTGAATTCCAGCCAGTAGTTGCAGAGAAGTAGCGCGTAAACGATTTTTACTCCATATGCATACTGCATAACTAATCAAGGGCCATAACTCTGCGTTAAAGTGTCTGACCGGAACAAGCTGACGATATGCGCATCTCCTCTTGGTATTGAATGTTTCCATAAAGTTTCGTTGAATTCCAGCCAGTAGTTGCAGAGAACTACTCCGGAAACGAAATTCGGACGGATGTTCTTACCAGAGCTACATTATGGGGTTTTCATTTGTTATTTCTTTTGTTCTTTTTAACCCCACAATGCAGAAAATAACCCCACAAGAGAAACGGAATGAATGACATCAAAGACATCTATTGTTATGAGAACAATAGACCAAACCCCATAATGTAGCTCTGGTTTGTACGGACGGACGGACAGACGGAAGGACGGACGGACAACGCCAAAACTATATCCCCCTCCCGATTCCATCGGCGGGGGATAACAATAAAAATGTTATTTATTTATAACCTATATTTTACGGTCATATATCTTTGACAAATGTAATATGTTTAAAGAACAAGTCTTCTTTCATGTGTTAAACAATTGTTAGTGATTTCAACAGGCTTTAACATTAATGTCTTCATTTATAGTTATAAAACATGCATAAACAAGACCACCTCAAAGGCAGCGCAATATACACCCTAGTGTAAATTTGTTTGAGAAATAAATAAATAAATAATCTTTCAGTTAGGAAAAAGACCCAATCAAGAAACTTGTTTGACAAATTGTTTCATTTTAATCATCCTTATAATACTAAATGACTTCCAGGGTGGGGACATTTTTACCCTTGGTGCACGATTCATAAAACCAGGTCTACTGGGCAATGCTATTTGCCAAATATAGAAACTCTGAGCAAAGTCAAAATATGCAGACCAGACAAGAAATTGCTACGTGCGGATGGACAACCAGGTGGGTAACAAGATACGTGTAATAATTGATATGTGAAAAGCATCTTTATAAGACTAGCTTTGGATTGTGTTTTTTTTCATTTTCCCTAGGGAATGTACATGTATGTGTACAAGTATAAACAATACAACAAGATATGCACACATCAACTTACCTTTAGCTGGAGGTGTAATCAATTTACCAGACATTGTTGGATACTTGGTAAAAGATGAGCCAATAAGAAGTGGTTGCTTCAACAAAACTGCAAGTTCAGACTTCATCTGTTTTATGTATCTGTTCTGACGTTGCTGGGCAACATCATCACCAAGGTCATCTAGACTAAACATGGTCAAGGTCAAACAGAAAAATACTGCATCACAAACTTGATAGCATGGGACTCCGTATTATGGGCATACTTAACGTTTTCTGTATGTTTGTATTCTATTTAATTGATGTTTTTAATAATAAATATTTTGTGTGAAGCAGAACAAACTCAACTGATTATTACATTTTTTATTGAATGAGGTCAATTATCTTTAATTGGTTGTGAAAGAGCTGTTTTAGTATATTTAAGAAAAGTATTGACAGATATGCTCATTTTCATCTTACAGGAACAGTTAATTTATATAAGAAATTTGAATGAATCAATATGTTAACATCTACAGGAGATTTTCCATACATATACTACATCAAAGAGTCACTATGGCTTGTGATCATATAAAACATGTTAAATATGTTTATGCTTTCTTAAATATGTGTAAGCTTTGACTGTTAGTGAGTATAATAATGTGTATAATGATAGAGTTAGTGAGTATAATAATGTGTATAATGATAGTAAGTGAGTATAATAATGTTTATAATGATAGAGTTAGTCAGTATAATAATGTGTATAATGATAGAGTTAGTGAGTATAACAATGTGTATAAGGATAGTTAGTATAATAATGTGTATAATGATAGAGTTAGTCAGTATAATAATGTGTATAATGATAGAGTTAGTGAGTATAATAATGTGTATAATGATAGAGTTAGTCAGTATAATAATGTGTATAATGATAGAGTAAGTCAGTATAATAATGTGTATAATGATAGTTAGTATAATAATGTGTATAATGATAGAGTTAGTCAGTATAATAATGTGTATAATGATAAAGTTAGTCAGTATAATAATGTGTATAATGATAGTTAGTATAATAATGTGTATAATGATAGAGTTAGTCAGTATAATAATGTGTATAATGATAGAGTTAGTCAGTATAATAATGTGTATAAGGATAGAGTTAGTGAGTATAACAATGTGTATAATGATAAGAGTTAGTGAGTATAACAATGTGTATAATGATAGAGTTAGTGAGTATAACAATGTGTATAATGATAGAGTTAGTGAGTATAATAATGTGTATAATGATAGAGTTAGTGAGTATAACAATGTGTATAATGATAGAGTTAGTCAGTATAATAATGTGTATAATGATAGAGTTAGTGAGTATAATAATGTGTATAATGATAGAGTTAGTGAGTATAACAATGTGTATAATGATAGAGTTAGTCAGTATAACAATGTGTATAATGATAGAGTTAGTCAGTATAATAATGTGTATAATGATAGAGTTAGTAAGTATAATAATGTGTATAATGATAGAGTTAGTGAGTATAATAATGTGTATAATGATAGAGTTAGTGAGTATAACAATGTGTATAATGATAGTTAGTGAGTATAATAATGTGTATAATGATAGAGTTAGTCAGTATAACAATGTGTATAATGATAGAGTTAGTGAGTATAATAATGTGTATAATGATAGAGTTAGTCAGTATAACAATGTGTATAATGATAGAGTTAGTGAGTATAACAATGTGTTTAATGATAGAGTTAGTCAGTATAATAATGTGTATAATGATAGAGTTAGTGAGTATAACAATGTGTATAATGATAGAGTAAGTGAGTATAACAATGTGTATAATGATAGAGTTAGTGAGTATAACAATGTGTATAATGATAGCGTCAGTCAGTATAACAATGTGTATAATGATAGAGTTAGTGAGTATAATAATGTGTATAATGATAGAGTAAGTGAGTATAACAATGTGTATAATGATAGAGTTAGTGAGTATAACAATGTGTATAATGATAAGAGTTAGTGAGTATAATAATGTGTATAATGATAGAGTTAGTCAGTATAATAATGTGTATAATGATAGAGTTAGTCAGTATAATAATGTGTATAATGATAGAGTTAGTGAGTATAACAATGTGTATAATGATAGAGTTAGTGAGTATAATAATGTGTATAATGATAGAGTTAGTGAGTATAATAATGTGTATAATGATAGAGTTAGTGAGTATAATAATGTGTATAATGATAGAGTTAGTCAGTATAATAATGTGTATAATGATAGAGTTAGTCAGTATAATAATGTGTATAAGGATAGAGTTAGTGAGTATAACAATGTGTATAATGATAAGAGTTAGTGAGTATAACAATGTGTATAATGATAGAGTTAGTGAGTATAATAATGTGTATAATGATAGAGTTAGTGAGTATAACAATGTGTATAATGATAGAGTTAGTGAGTATAACAATGTGTATAATGATAGAGTTAGTCAGTATAATAATGTGTATAATGATAGAGTTAGTGAGTATAACAATGTGTAAAAGGATAGTTAGTATAACAATGTGTATAATGATAGAGTTAGTAAGTATAATAATGTGTATAACGATAGAGTTAGTGAGTATAACAATGTGTATAATGATAGAGTTAGTGAGTGTAATAATGTGTATAAGGATAGTTAGTATAACAATGTGTATAATGATAGAGTTAGTGAGTATATTAATGTGTATAAGGATAGAGTTAGTGAGTATATTAATGTGTATAAGGATAGTTAGTATAACAATGTGTATAATGATAGAGTTAGTGAGTATATTAATGTGTATAAGGATAGAGTTAGTGAGTACATTAATGTGTATAAGGATAGTTAGTATAACAATGTGTATAATGATAGAGTTAGTGAGTATAATAATGTGTATAAGGATAGTTAGTATAACAATGTGTATAATGATAGAGTTAGTGAGTATAACAATGTGTATAAGGATAGAGTTAGTGAGTATATTAATGTGTATAAGGATAGTTAGTATAATAATGTGTATAATGATAGAGTTAGTGAGTATAACAATGTGTATAAGGATAGAGTTAGTGAGTATAATAATGTGTATAATGATAGAGTTAGTGAGTATAATAATGTGTATAAGGATAGTTAGTATAATAATGTGTATAATGATAGAGTTAGTGAGTATAACAATGTGTATAAGGATAGTTAGTATAACAATGTGTATAATGATAGAGTTAGTGAGTATAATAATGTGTATAAGGATAGTTAGTATATCAATGTGTATAATGATAGAGTTAGTGAGTATAATAATGTGTATAAGGATAGTTAGTATAACAATGTGTATAATGATAGAGTTAGTGAGTATAATAATGTGTATAAGGATAGTTAGTATATCAATGTGTATAATGATAGAGTTAGTGAGTATAATAATGTGTATAAGGATAGTTAGTATAACAATGTGTATAATGATAGAGTTAGTGAGTATAACAATGTGTATAAGGATAGAGTTAGTATAACAATATGTATAATGAAAGAGTTTATAATAGGATACAGTTCCTCCTCAACATCCACACCAATCTCATCAGCTGCCTTTCTGAACCAATCATTGTGTCTCTTTGATTTCTTAAACCTTAAATAAACCATTTCAATGTCATATTTGGAGCAAAAACAAAACCCAAAACAATAAGAATAAAATAATAAGGACAAAAAGACAACACCTTCATTTTATATATATATAAAATTAAAACGATAATTAGGATTGAAATTATGACTGAAGATCTGATAAGATAGTTCTAGGTGATAATTTGTAAAAATGACAGAATATGTAACCTCTCACACCTGACATTAATGCATCTGAACAGATGAAAATCAATACACTTAAAGAAAACAGCAATATTATCTTGTATGTCAACAAAAGAATAACTGTGCATTTTCCAATTTTCCATGACAAACCCTTACTATGAAACAAGGTAGGAAAATCTATATAATAAAGAAGATTGCTGTGTAAATATTACCTGTATTCCTGTGTTTCTATTTGGCGTACCATGTTAACACGTCTTTTTATCTCAGTTACAACATTTTGTTCTACAGGAAATAGAGGCAGGTCTTCATCTACAATAAAGAAAATATATGTGAACCATTGAAGTGAGTTACATCAAAGAATCTAGTTATTTTAAACAGTGGTACATGTACATCACTTTAATTTGTTAGTTTTTTGGTTGAAAATAATCTGTTTTATAAATACTTAAATAACATTTTGTGTTTGAAATTATTTTTTGTCCAATAGGATTGCTGTATTTCAACTGAATCATAACACACTTACTTTGGTAAATCGGCAAACTGTTAATTAGTCTAGTGATTTGACTGTTTATAAAAAATAATTTAAAACACGAAGTTGGTTAAAATTTATTAGTACATATTTACAAAATTAAAATCGGTCTTGCGCAGCTGTGTATAATTTAATTATGTAAACTTGAACCTATACTAAATGTTAAAACTATGAAACTCAAGCCATTAAAATTGACCTTTCATCTGTTTTAAGCATCAAAACATCTCTATGTGAGATATAAGAAATTACCAAATTTGTTGAAATAAAACAAATGTAAGAAACATAGAATACCATAAATGAAAATAATTCTAAGGCACAAAGAATAAACAATAATGTGACAGATATTAATATTACCTTTATTGAGAGTTTTAATAATTTTTCTGTAGTTTTTCACATCATCAGGCCCAATTATCATGATACTAAGACCTTCTTTACTGGCTCTAGCAGTGCGTCCACTTCTATGTACATAATTCTAAAACATTCACAAACAATAGATGACCAAGTCTCACAAAATTGTCAAACTGGTGCCAATGAAATTACATAACATTTTAGCATGAGGCATGACTTTGACAAAGTTAAGACAAAAGTGTTAAAAATAAGTATTCAAAATGTTCAAGGGAAATAGGTAAAAGTAACTCTTTATCACAAAAGAAGTACCAATAATATTATAAACAAATAATGAAGTCTCAGGCACATTTGAAAACAGAAAAATATAAGCTTAACAGTCATATTTTAATACTAAATACCTACAGAAATGAAATATTTAGTACCCACTCATAAAACTATGTAAGCATTAACTTATTCTTAGACAACTTGCTTATGCAAAAATACAAAACCTTTAACAATAAAGAAAACAACAACAGTGAGTAGTTTAAGTCTACTTTAAATTATTAAATGTGAGGCAAACATCCAGCTAGAATACTGGCAATCAGTGATTTTACACAAGTGAATAATATGCAATGAAGGGCTATAAAACTCTTTTTATATCGCTTAAGCTAGAAAATTGCTGTATGACATAAAACCTAATCCATAACATTAATGGCAAAAGCGTGTTCACATACCTCGACTGTATGAGGAACTTGGTAATGTATGACATGTTGAACATTTGGGATATCTAAACCTCTGGCAGCAACATCAGATGCTATTAATAATGATGAAGGATTACCTAAAAACATAAACAAAGCTTAATTATAACGTACTGTGATACAATAAATATAAGAATACACACAGAAATCAGTTGTCATATATTTTACATTTTACCATGTCATCTCCTACCAAGCATTGGTATTGTATGAAACACATCAGCTTAATCTGCCAACATTTGTAGTTATTTTAAAATTCATTCATGAATAACAAAGTCATGGACCAGACACAACCAATCAATTCACAAGCATATTATGACTTTATAACTTATGACATAAAAGTGTGGCATTTCCCTTTAAACAGGAGACCTGATTATTGCATATGACACATTGTCATCATGTTCAACAGATTATGCCAAGTAATCATAAAATCCATCCAGGAGTGACAGATTTGTTGACCAGACATGACCATCTATGCACGTTTACAAAGAATTCACAGCACAACTTCAGACAAGCAAGCATGGCACAGATCTCCAATCTAAAGACTTGATTCTTGAGTGTGACACATCGTCATCATGTCCAACCAATTACATGTAATACTAATGCTGACTGGATACAACCATCAAAGTACTTTTATGAAAGTGTGACCCTGACTTTTTATCTACAAGAATCTTGGATGTGACACATCTTCTCAATGAGCTACACATTTATGCATATTCATCAAAATAAGAAACTATACAATGGTAAAGAAATGCAAAATATTGAAAAAAAATATAACAAATATTCATTTTGAAAAAATAAAACAAGCATTCAATAATGAAAATTTACATATATCAAGGTATATTTATACAATACTCACTTGTAAATTTATCTAGATTTTTTAATCTCTGTCTCTGGTGCATATCAGCATGTAATGGTAGAGGATGACACTGTAGTAGTGAAAATATAGACACCAATCGCCGTATACAATCTTTACTGTTTGTAAATACCAGGGTCCTGCCCGGGTAATGTTTCAAGAAATAATACAAGTAGACATCCTGTAAAATAAAACAATAACTTTCAGTAAAGTAGATAAAAACTTATTACATGTATAAGTAACTTATTCAAAGACTACTGGTTTCCTAGCAGATTCCATCCCCTAGCAGTTTTCCGGCCGTTTATCATTTTCGTTCAGTACAGTCTATTTTTACCGGTAAGACATCCACATTACTTCATCAATCACAGAGACATTTGTTTTCTATGCTAAACATCATTCAAAATAGTACAACGATTTACATGTTTTGAAGTTTTGCCTGTTATCTAAAGTTACATAAGAGAATATGCCACTTTCAAAAATAAGCAACACCTGGGGAATTCTAGTTTGAATATCCATGCACAATAACTAAGACCCCATTTTAGGAAAATCAATTCTTCAGAAAATATTTTTGCAGACAACATGAATAAGGTTGGGAAGTTCTGTTTGTCTGATAAAACCATCTTAACAGTGCTTTAGGGTACTGAATTATATTCAAAATAAAAAAAGGTCCGGAAAACTACTATGAATTTTTGAATAAAGGTGAAAAAAGGTGTTACATTTCAGGCATATATTCAAATTAAAAAGTAAAATGAAAGTGCAACATTAAAGACATGGCAATGCTGGACAGGTACCTAACTTTGTCCTGTCAAAGTTTTGTACCACTCCCTAGACTGATTTTTATTTTATTTGTTAAAAAGTGCGATTTGTGGCCGGAAACTGCTAGGAAACCAGTAGACATTAGTGTTGTATTAATGACATTCAACAGTCCTAACTCCCTTAAACAACACAGATGAACACTTGTATCAGCAGCTTATTCTTCAAAACATATTTCAGAAAACTGTAGAATAACAAGCATTGTTTTAAATATTTTTAATACCCAATGATAAAATGATTATCAGGAAATAATGTTGAAAGCTGTTAAAATTGTATCTATCAACTTTTCTCTATTTAAGTAAACTTGTTGGAAAAAATCTTTAAAAGTGATCTCAGGAAACAGTTTTTATGAACATACAGACAGACTGAAGGAGAATCTTAAGTTATTTTTTTAAACATCCCTGTTACCAAAATATAACATATTTTAATGCAAAATTCTTAAAGACGATATAACTCTTGAAATAAAGATGCTAGATTTATGAACAATGTCATATATGATATGAGTTTTACTTTAAGTTTAAAGATACCATTTATAGTCACAACGGAGAAAAGTAAAAAAAACAATTTTCAAATATAGCATTAACTATAATGCATAGTAAGAAACAAAGATGAAAATTAAAAAAAATATATAATGTAGGTGTTCATAATGAATGTTTATTTGAAGAAAATCCATGAAGAAAAAATTACAATGTTAAAGAATGAATAACAAAAATTCAAAGTTTAAGGAGGAGATAATTCTGGAAATATGGATTCTAGATTTATAAACCTTGTCATATTATTACGACGTGGGATTTTAAAGTAAATCCTATAAGGAATGAAGAAGTTGGAGTAAAAAATACCAATTTCTCGAAAAAAATCTAAGTTCAAGGGGAAAATAGTTCTTGAAATAGTCTTGCTAGAGTATTTAACCTTCTCACAAATGTTGAGTGATAATAAGAAACATATATATGAAGTTTGAAGTACGTACATTAAGAAATAAAGTTATTTAAAAAAAGACAACATTTTTTTCATAAAAATTCTAAGTTCAAGGGAGGTAATTCTGATAAGTTTTGTGCTAGAGTTGTAAACCTTGTCACCTATGATGTGGTTGATGACCAGAAACTTATATTTAAAGTTTGAAGTAAACACCTTAAGAAATAAAGAACTTATAGTGAAAAAGCGTAAAAATTCAAATCAGAAATCTAGAAATTCAGTCTATTTGTTGCCATAGCAACCAGAATTGTCAACATAGAAAGAAAAGAAAATGATTTGCATAATCTCCATACTGCCATCTACCCATATTTGAAGTTTCATAAAAATATTTTCAGTATTTTTTGAGTTATCACTGGATCCAGTTTATGTGTTAAATTTGCCATATTTTCAGACTATTTGTTGCCATAGCAACCAGAATTTTCAACATAGGAAGAAAAGAACAAGATTGCATTTGTGAAAAATGCTATGCCACCGCATTAATACAACACTAAATAGTAGTGTAGGAACAGATTTTTTTTTGTTTCTATACAATTTTGAAGATTGTCATAATGCATAGATCCCTAACCTATCTAATTCTTATTATCAGATAAGTGGTTAAATCTGTTGTTAACTCAATAAAAGATCAGAGTAGGAATATATCAATGCACTCTACTCTAGTGAATTTGGTGGCGAAGGTCATATTTCACACAGCCTAAATTTCATGACTACATCAAAGGACAACACAGTAAGACACTTTGTCAAAATCTAGGTCAGCTGAAATCAAAGTTCACTTTAAATCTTAATCTGTGCACATGGTTCAAATTTCAAAGCTGTACATCAAATGACAAGAAAGTAGGTCACATCATCAAAATCTAGGTCACCTGATATCACAGTTCAATTTTACAACTAAAACTGTGCACATGGTCAAAATTTCATTGCTGTACATTAAAAGACAAGAAAGTAGGTCACTTTCCCCTTGGGCAAGGCAAAATTTTGGACCCAAGGGTTTAATTCAAACCAATCTTGATACAGGTCCACCAAATAACATTTCAAGTCAAATATCTAAGCTGTAGCTTTCTCCCATTCAGAAAACATTTGTTTTATTTTTACTATGTGTACATAATCACTGACCCCGGGCAGGGCCAATTTTGAAACCAGGGGAAAATTTGAACAACTTTGGAATAGGACCTATAGATGATATTATATAGCAAACATCAAAGCTGTTTGCCTTGTACCTTCAGGCAAAAATATTTTTTATTTTTTTACTATATGTACATAATGAAAATCAATGACCCCCTGGGCGGAACCAATTTTGACCCAAGGGCTATAATTTGAACAATCTTGGTAAAGGTTCACTTCGCAAAGTCTCATGCCATATATTTAACCTCTAGCCTTTGTCAATTTAGAGAAGAAGATTTTTCAATTCAGAGAAGAAGATTTTTCAAGTCTTTACTTTATACATATAAGGAAAACTATCGCCTCTGGGGCAGCTGGGCAAATTTAACACTAGGGGCATAATTAAAACAACTTTAGTAGAGGACCCATAGATGATATTATATACCAAATATCAAAGCTCTAAGCCTTGTACCTTCAGACAATAAGATTTTAAAATTTTTTACTATATGTACATACTGAAAATCAATGAACCCTGGGGGTGGGGCAAATTTTGACCCCAGGGCTATAATTTGAACAATCTTGCTAAAGGTTCACTACAAAATGTTTCATTCAAAATATCTTAACTCTAGCTTTTGTAAATTTAGAGAAGATGATTTTTTAAGTTTTTACTACATATAAGGAAAACTATCGCCTCTGGAGCAGCTGGGCTAATTTTGACACTAGAGGCAAAATTTGAACAACTTTGGTAGAGTACCTATAGATGTTATCATTAAACAAAAATTAAAGCTCTAAGCCTTGTACCTTCAGACAATTAGATTTTTTACTATATGTATATATTGAAAATCAATGACCCCCGGGGCGGGGGCAATTTTTAACCCCACGGCTATAATTTGAACAATCTTGCTAGAAGTTCACTTCACAATTTTTTATGCAAAATATCAAACCTCTAGCATTTGTCAATTGCTACAAGAAATTTTTTTAAGTTTTTACTATAAGTTTTTACTATATACATATAAAGAAAACCAATGACCCCCGGGGCGGGGCCGATTTTGGCCCCAGGGCTATAATTTTATCAATCTTGGTAGAGGTGTTCCAGACAATGCCTTATGCAAAATATCTAAGCTCTAGGCCTTTTGGGTCTTTACAAGAAGGTATTTTAAGTTTTTACTATATGTACATATATAGTGAAAACCAATGACCCCCCGGGGTGGGGCCGATTTTTGCCCCAGGGCTATAATTTGATCAATCTTGGTAGAGGTGTTCCAGACAATGCCTTATGCAAAATAACCAAACTCTATGCCTTTTGGGTCTTTACAAGAAGGTATTATATGTACATATATAGTAAAAAACCAATGACCCCCGGGGCGGGGCGATTTTGACCCAAGGGCTATAATTTGAACAATCTTGGTAAGGATCTACCAGACAATGCCTTATGCAAAATATCTAAGCTCTAGGCCTTTTGGGTCTTTACAAGAAGGTATTTTAAGTTTTTACTATATGTATATATAGTGAAAATCAATGACCCCCGGGGCGGGGCCAATTTTGACCCCAGGGCTATAATTTGAACAATCTTGGTAGAGGTCTACCATACAATGCCTTATGCAAAATATCTAAGCTCTAGGCCTTTTGGGTCTTTACAAGAAGATTTTTTAAATTTATTCTTATAATTCCTTTTGGTTGCCATGGCAACCAGATTTCTGCATGGAATTAAATTCTTTGAACAACTTTGGAAGCCCTTCACCCAAGGATCAATCCTGCCAAGTTTGGTTGAAATTGGACTGGTGATTTTTCATAAGAAGATTTTTTAAGTTCACTATATAATCTATATAACACACACAAACAAACACACACACACACACACACAGGTGAATCGCTATATGCCACCGCATCGCAGATGCTGCGGTGGCATAAAAAGACGTGCATAATCTCCATACTGCCATTTATCCATATATCAAGTTTCATAAAAATATTTTCAGTACTTTTTGCGTTATCGCGGGATCCAGTTTTGTGGTCGGACGGACTGACAGACAGACGGACGGAGGGTAAACCTATAGTCGCCCCCCCCCTCCATTTAAACCGGTAGGGGACTAATAACTGTTATTAGATACAAAATTGTAACTTCGATCAGGAAAACTGACATCAGAAACATTCTCAGTTATCTTATTTTTTTCTAAAAACTAATATAGCAATGACAAGACATAGAGGATATTTGTTGGTTTTGCATGGAAGATTGAAATATAATTTCACTGAGTGAACACCAGATGCAATATTTTCACGAGTGGCGTAGCCACGAGTGAAAATATAATAGCTGGTGTTCACGAATGAAATCTATAGAAATCTTATATGTAAAACAAATAAATTTTCTTTTTATTTCATGCGTTTTAAGTAATTTAAGTAATTTTTATTGATTTTGCCGCGTAACGTCGCGCATTCTCCTTTGTGACGTCATTACATTTTGACGTCACATCAACAAGTTTGAAATATAGTTCTGTTAAATTTCTCTAATGTTGTTACATTTTTAACATAATGTATGGTGACATCGACTTTCTTTTCCGAAAGAAGTAAAATTTACGCATGACGGCATTTATTTTTGCCTGTTATTCCATTCAGTTTTGATTTTCTTTTCATCCGCATTCAGATATAGTCCGGCTACAGTGAAAATTATATTTTATAAATTTCACTAGTGGTTTATCAGAATATAATCATCTGATATATTACAATAAAACACTGGAAAGCATGAAATAAATACCTTTTCCTCTTTAGTACAATTGATTCTTGCCTCAGTTAATGTTTCTACTGTACCAACTTTTCTTGTTATATCAACAACCTTAGGTTTGAACTTTAAACCTGTTTTCCTCATCAAATATGCTGTAAAACAACAAACACAAGATATGAAAAATAATACACAAGTTATAAACTAACTTACCTATTAATTAAACCAGTAGAAAGAAATAATTACATAATTTTGTAGATTTTTATTATTTTTTATGATTGATTTGTGGAAAATATCTCAGGAAAGTTGAATAAATCATTATGTCTTTTTTACAATTCTTACTAATCTTTTAGAATTGCAACAGAAAAATACAAATCTAAAAAAATCCTGACCTGTTTGGAATTTGAACTCATAAAAACATCTTACAAACAAACAAAAAACACAATGCTCACAATCACTGAGTCAAAGAAATAATTCTGAGACAGAGTTGTCAGTATGTGTAGTTGTATTTATAGTAATTGAAGTATGCCCAATACTCCTACAAAACACCTCAAATTGGTTAGAACTGTTTAGACTGCATCAATTACAAATGCTATCACTTGAAAGTAACTTAATACTTGAAAGAAAAGCCATGATCATGATTATAAAACTATTAACATGCTTTTAAGATCCTAACAATAAAACAATTAAACAAGAAAAAGAATGTATGAAATATTAGTGTGACATGAAAATAACGTATTGACTTACTAAGTTTCTGTTTTTCATCCCACTTTTTCTTCTTTTTCTTCACTATTCTTTGTGGCCCTGAGTGAATTAAAGTGAGTGTGGCTGAGAATACATATGTATGTCGGTTATGCCTGTTTGGATCTCTGAAATTCATGAATTTTTAAAATTACAAGTATGTTATTTTAACAAACTTGAATTGCAAAATTATAAGGGAAAACATCAATTATTCAAAGGGACATCTTGGAAGATTTTTTGGCAATTTTTTTAAAATAGACTGGAAAAGAAACATACTGAATATTATTTTACATTAAACTACAAAATTAAGAAATTTATCATTTTTATCAGAAGATATAAATTGTAAAATACAATGCAAACCTCTTCATTTTCTCAAGAAGTTTGGCCAGCTCCTCATAGTGACCTTTCTCTGTCATTCTATCTGCCTCATCAACCACCAGGTGGCAGGTCTTCTCTATCTCTGACAGGTAAACTTCACCCTATATAATATACAGTGTTATCAATAACAATAATTCACCCTATATGATAATTATACAATGTTATCAATAACAATCATCACATTATTTGACCCAGTTATCCATTAAATTTACACCTGGGTAATTCAAATTTGACCATTTCTTACTTCAGTCTTCAGTTTTAGGTTGACCCTATACCTATAAAAAAAGGCTGAAGCAAATTTTGCTTCATTGATGTTGGAGCTGTTAAAATGTTTAACATAGTACAATTCAGTATCTTAAACTGAAGTGCCAAGTTCTACACTGAAAATGGGTTTCTGAAGAACATACAAAATTAATTATTTAAAGTGGATTGGTCTGCAATGGGCACATTTTCCATAAGTATTTAAAATATTGATAAAATAAGAGAAACATACTGTTTGGATATTCTAATAAAATATTTCTTGACAAAATAATGTTGATAAAGTTCTAAGTGATGTGGTACAAAATATTTATATGATGAATGATTTTATTTTGTACTAGAATAATTTATTATCTGCTATATGCAGAAGTTGTATTGGATGATGTATGCACAACATCCATATATAATTATATCATGGTTTGCTGTCTCATATGATACTAAATACTTTCTATGTAACTAGTATGCCTTATTCTCATCGATTTGTGACCTAAATAAATGTCTGGTATAAATACTTCTGCAAGGACATACACCATCCAAAAACTACACAAATTTTATTAGACACTAGATTTGACAATTCTATCCAATCAAAATGCGTTATTGAACAGATGTAATTGTGCTTACCCTACAATCAGCTGATGACCTAATTACTTTAAAATATTCGATATTGATGTTATAATTTATCAAACACACTTACAATTAAGCCAAAAAAAAAAATCATTATGCTGTAAGAATTTACTTAAGACTTTGAAACATATATTGATCAGATCGGACTGAAAATAACCATGCGAACATTTAGTGGTGTGAGTACCTATATTTTGATGACGTTACAGGGTGAATCGGATTTCACGAATCGATGGGTAAGCGTCCAGCTGAGCAAGACAGTCATGGTTGACATGTTCAGATGCTCTTATCTTTGAGTGGTTGTTTTTAGAAGTAATTTAAAGTTTTGAACTTTTAGATAATGAATTTATTTAACAGATGCACTAATTGCACTGTATGTATGTCTGATATTTGTTGTGCAAGTGCAATTTTTCAAAATAAATGTTATGAATCGACGAGAGAAAAGCAGAATGGTTCTGCAGACCCTCCACATACATGTGAACTTTTTTTGATGATCAAGTGGGAGATTTTTTTTCAAAAAGAGGGAGATTTTAGAATTTGCAATAAAGAAAGAAGTTCTGATACCAAAAAGAGGGAGATTTCTTTAATTTGTGAAAATACCCCTAAAATATGGCTGCAGAAAGTGGGAGTCTCCAGCTAAAGATGGGAGAGTTCACATGTATGCCTCCATTATAAAGCAATTCACTTCAATTATAAAATCATAGATCTTTGTATTAAAAACTTGTCTTATCTTCTTATACATTATATCAATGATTCTCATCATCAATACTCATTTGAAATATACAAATATTTCATAGAGCCCCACATTACCAACACCCTGTTTTATGACCAATCTGTTATTACGACAAGTTTCGAAGAACAAAATTACTTCTTCTCATTTCAATGGTCTTTTTATGTCAAACCGACATCACATCACTATTACATACATCAAATCACAATGCTACATGTTAATGGACCCATCATTCAGACCTCCCCTGGATAGTCAAATTACACATGCCAATACTGATTGTCTATCAACTTGTTGTAAGGTCTTTTATCATTTACCTGTGTTTTCATGACATCAAAACACTATATCAAAAAGTGAGCTTGTCCGAGTATCTATGTAAAAGCCCTTTCTTTACTGATTGTTAACAAAAGATTATTTGTTGATTATTTAAGATATGCTGTTTGAAAATTATGTTGTTTGTAATTTTTTTTCTGTAATAAAGAATAATTACATTTCACTTTATCATATGTTAACACTATGCCTCACACTAACATTAATTGACAATCAGAATTTAAGACCACCTCACTACTATGATCATTTTTCTTCAGACAGAACCACATGTATTATTTTGGGATACTAATGTACATGAAATCTAATGGAACTAACATGTCTTAATTTAACAAATGAAAGTGAATTTACACATATGGTCAATACAACATACCTGACTTGGTGATAAAATTAATATAAATTTATGATTCAATAGTACCTGTTGAATAAGCTCCCAGAGTCGACCAGGTGTTGCTACTAGGATATCAGGACATTTCTCCAAAATTCTCTGCTGCCTTGGCATAGCTAGTCCCCCTACAATAGCTTCTACCTTAAAATATATATTATCCATTTATTATAAATGTCATTAAACCAAACGAAAACTTCTTATTTTAACAATGATTTAAGCATTCAAAATATTCTTTACAGTCATATAAAGTTTTGGGAGATTTACAGAAGTTCACATCTTCCTTTATATTCAATTAATATTTAGTCTTTTGGTGCACATAAAATCTCTGAATAAAATTAATTTTCTAAATTAATTGACCTAAAGAAGATATGTGTCAATTTACTAAAATTTAACAGCATTAATGACAGTTTAACACTACATGGATGCAGTCAGGCCAAGCTTGTCCGTGTCAATAACTTCTAAAGTTCTATACAGAAATTACAGTATCTCAGCATTTTTATTTTTGTATACCCTAGACAAGCAATGAACACTTAAAAAAAATCAAGCAGGGCCTTTCTAACAACTTTTCAATGTAAACGTTAAATAATCTTTACTCTTACTGTTATATCAGTGTATTTGGCTGCTGCTCGGAGATGATTTTTCACTTGTATAGCCAGTTCTCTGGTAGGTTCTAGTATCAGTGCCCGTGGGTGTGTTGCCTGGTATTTAATTACCTCTGGTTCCTCTAGCCAGCTGAAATCTACATCCTTTATTACCTTCACACAACCAATACCATCTTCCTGTAAGATAATCATTTATTATCAAATAGCCTGGCAAAATTCTTACAACATAAATCTGGATTTATAAATAAGTTTTTTCTTTCCATTCTTGTTTCCTTTCTATACAAGCGAAAAAACACAAGATTTTTTTCCATTTCAATTAGCATATATGACAAAACAAAACTTGAAAAGGTAAACCTTCATGACATTTTTATCCTATCACTATTCACAAGCATTTCTTTTTTATTTTTCTTTTGACCTCTGACCTTTTCACCTTAAATAAGTATCAGAGTTGAACTTTATGTAATTACAGGTTACAGTGACCGTTACCTAAAAATGGCTGTGACTGGTCAAAATAATCAAAGAGCATCCACATATAAATAATACTGTAAAGGATTTCAGATATCAACTAGACTCGAGTATGCACTTCTATACAGTATATATCTTTTATTTTCACACATCAGCATAAAACAAAGTGATTCTCTGAAACAAATGATAAAGTAATAAACTAATACATTCATTTCTGATATAAACTTAACAAATAAATAATAGAATAGAATAATTAAATAATTATTTCCTATGATGAAGAATCTTAATAAACAGAAGTACAGTTAAAATCCATAAAATAAATAATCGTAACAATTGATTAAAATTAATAAATACTTCATTAGAAAATTCTTCGTCATAGGAAATAATTATTTAATTATTCTATTCTATTATTTATTTGTTAAGTTTATATCAGAAATGAATGTATTAGTTAATTACTTTATCATTTGTTTCAGAGAATCGCTTTGTTTTATGCTGATGTGTGAAAATAAAAGATATATACTGTATAGAAGCGCATACTCGAGTCTAGTTGATATCCGAAATCCTTTACAATTCTCGACTATAATGTCTTTCACATCGAAACCTTTAAAATACAGTTTCAGCTTTAACGTTTAACGCCGCTACATATAACGTAAGTTACCTTTTAAATTCATAACAAACAATTACGTCAAAATGACGCGCTAAACTATTCAGCGCGTAACGTTAAATAAGTTGGCGCCAAACAACGCTTAACGTAAGATATATATTATATATTTTAATTAGAATCGGTAATAAACGATTCTTACAAATACATTTAACTTTATAACTTGAGGTTAATGACCATAAACAAAAACTTAACCAAAAAGTTTTATGAATACAGATGTCAATGCCAATGCTGACAAGTGGGGTCATGACAACAGCTCCACCTTTTCTTTGAAAAGTGCAACAAATAAGCAAATGGATGAAAAGAAACTGAAGTGCCATTGATGTTCATGTTTTGTACTCAAAGTATGTGTTACCTTTACACCTTCCATTTCTTCCTCTGATGATTCTCCTTCAACTTTTTCAGAAGTTTGTTGTTCATTACTATCACATTCATTTTCACTATCATCGTCACCCTTTTCCTCATCATCAACATCATCTATTTCAGAATCATCGTCATCACTACTTTCATCCTCTTCCTCACAATTACCACTGTCTTCCATATTTTCTTCATCATCACTAATGACTACATCAGCACCATCATCATCACTATCATCATTATCTTTATTGTCCTCGTTATCATCAATGTCATCATCACCATCATTATCACTATTTTCAGTCCCTGTTTCTGAATCCCCAATACCTCCATTTTCTATGTAACAAACAAAACGCAATCAAGTTATAATATGCAGAGTTAAGATACAAGTAAGTTCATACTATTCATACTTTTAATTAGGGTTAGGATAATTCACATAGATTTTAACTAGATTCAGCTCAGTTTTATAACTTTTATATCCAGAAATATTGAATAAAACTAGAAATGTGTCCATAGGACACGAATGCCCCCACACGCCACTGTTCTGTCAATCTTATGACTCTAGGTCAAATATTTTTTGGACTACATGTGCCACAAGTTGAAAACTAAAAATCAACAAAGGGCCATAATTCTGTTAAATTTGGTCGCAGCGAAAATTCCTTCCTTAACTACCATCTACACATTAAGGTTGTTCATCCCTGGAAGTTTAAGCAAAATCTGCCATCCGGTTTAAGAGGAGTTGCGTTCACAAAATTTCTACATAGTATATAATGAAAAAATCAACAAAGGGCCATAATTCTGTTAAATTTGGTCGCAGCGAAAATTCCTTCCATTACTACCATCTACACATTAAGGTTGTTCATCCCTGGAAGTTTAAGCAAAATCTGCCATCCGGTTTAAGAGGAGTTGCGTTCACAAGATTTCGGGACGGACGGACAAGTGCAACGCTATATGCTCCCACTTTGTGGGGGCATAATAAAAAAAGCTGGTTTTTGAATCATCATGAATCGATTCATAGTGAAAACATCACCTAAACTAGGAATGTGTCCTCACGCGACTGATGCCCCGCATGCAGCCAAAATTTTAGATGTTATTATATTTAGTTTCAAATTTGTTTGCACAAACTTTTTTTCGTTTTAAGCTCAAAGCCCTTAAAACTATCCAATGTTAACACAAACTATTAACATGCAATGTTCAAGAACTGAAACTTTTCAGTGTTAACCTATTATAAATTGCATAATACCTATTTGTAGCCAAAAATGCCTACATACATGTCCACAAAAGTATGAGTGCTGAAACTGAAAATTCAAAATTTTTCCAACATTCAAGGGAGATTACTTTGTCCAAAATCATTGAACCACGCCCAAATTCAAACTTGAACTGCTTATTCCTAAGATGTATCTATATGCCAAATTTTAGTTGAATGTGAGATAATGAACGGAAACTTAAATATCTGATTTTTTTTTCAAAGTTCAAGAGGGATAACACTGTCAGCTATCATCAAACCATGACCAAATTCGAAATTGACCAATGCATTCTTATGACATATCCATATCTTTAATTTGAGTTGAATATGTACAACTGTTGGGGAGGTTATGAATGGAAACTGAAAATTTCCTCTTTTTTTTCAAAGTTAAAGGGTCATAACTCTGCCAAAAATCATCGAACCATGACCAAATTCGAACTTGACCTGTGCATTGATTTGACCTATCCATATGTCAAATTTGAGTTGAATGTGTAATACCTTTGGGGAGATAATGAATGGAAACTGAAAATTTCATATTATTTTTCAAAGTAAAAAGGGCATAACTCTGCCAAAAATCATCGAACCATGACCAAATTCGAACTTGACCTGTATTTTCTCATGACATATCCATATGTCAAGTTTGAGTTGAATGTGTAATACCCTTGGGTAGATAATGAACGGAAACTGAAAATTTCATATTATTTTCAAAGTAAAAGGGGCATAACTCTGCTTAAAACCATCGAACCATAACCAAATTCATACTTGACCTGTATTTTCTCCTGACATATCCATATGTCAAGTTGAGTTGAATGTGCATTACCTTTGGGTAGATTATGAACGGAAACTGAAAATTTAATATTATTTTCAAAGTAAAAGGGGCATAACTCTGCCAAAAATCATCGAACCATGACAAAATTCGAACTTGACCTGTATTTTCTCAAGACATATCCATATGTTAAGTTTGAGTTGAAAGTGTAATACCATATGAGAGATAATGAATGGAAACTGAAAATTTCATTTTATTTTCAAAGTAAAAGGGGCATTACTCTGCCTAAAATCATCGAACAATGACAAAATTCGAACTTGACCTGTATTTTCTCATGACATATCCAGACCTGGGGTAATCATTAATCGTAATCATTGATTTTTTAATTGATTACATGATTACACTGTAATCATCATGTAATTGATTACCTTGTCCAAAATTGATTACATTAATTGTAATTAATCAATTACAGCTTAAATTCAGTCAGTAATTATGATTACTTTTTGATTGACATTGATTACTTCCAGATTTAACAGGAAACTATTTAAATTCAAAGGATTTCTTTATTTTACAGTTCAACTTTTGTTTTATAGTTATACAGTAAAAATCCTCAATTAAGACCACCATTTAGATAGGAACAAAGTGAATATTCTTATCATTGCTTACATACTTTAAGACCATGGTCTATTTTAGTCATTTTGTATGAACAATATTTGAATATGTATATTTACATGTACCTATAAAATTAAATACATTATAAAAGACGCTATAAAAGAATGCTTTGATATTTAATCTGATGAAAGGAAAACATAATATCTGAAGAAATTGAACATTAATTTTACGGTATCACTTATAATATGATGTACATAAATCAAATAAAAATTTAATTTTTCAAAAAATATATATGTTGAAAGCAACAATGTAGCACTCTTAAATTTACCTTCTCACCTTATTTCATACAATAACCCAATAATAATAGTTTTTCACACCTTGTGAAATCAAGTGTCATGATAAAGAGCATTCAAGCAGATCATAGCAACAAATTTAAGATCTAGATAGGTGTTGACTTTAATATCAGTGGTCTCAATAGTTGGGTCACATTAAAATTAAACAAAAATTTGGACTGAATATGGTGGTCTTAGAGGTGAATAAGCAGGTGGTGAAATCTAGATCATGAAACCATTGACTTGAGAACCTTTTTAAAAACGGTCTTAATAGCAGGGTGCTCTTAATTCTGGGGTGGTCTAATGTACATTCAATGTAATCAATTATCAATCAATTACTCTGTTAAAGTAATTGTAATTCAATTGATTACAGAGACAAGTGTGAGTAATCAATCTTAATCAATTACAATAAAATCTGAAAGTAATTGTAATTAAATCAATTACTGATCAATGTAATCATCCCCAGGTCTGGATATATCCATATGGCAAATTTGAGTTGAATGTGTGCAACCGTTACTAAGATAATGAACGGGGTAACACTATATGCCCCTGCCATTATATGGCGGGGGCATAAAAATAACAATACATAATTTATGAGGGTAAATATTTATCCAACAAACTTATTTGAAGGGATAATAGGTAAAAAACTGCAGTCATATATGCACATAAGGTAACTGTTGGTATGTAGCTTGATAAACCTCAATACATATAATCTAAACTTTAAATTTCTGTAGAAAAAGAAAGAAGGACCTAACACATGCACTTACTATTTAAACTATCGTCTGCCTCTCTTTTTTTCTGTTCTAAAATGAAGTGAAGAACTGGTATACCAAATGCTAATGTTTTACCACTTCCCTAAAAAGTAGAAAAATAAACTGATGTTAGACTTCTTGCTAAAACATAAAGTTAAATCCAAATGCAGCACATAATTTCCTTGATAATTTGGTTGACAACAATACATGTGTGCCTAAAGCACTTTATTCTTTGCCATGGATAAGAAATTAATGTGAAATAATTGCCTGTATCTTTGAAAGAAAAAGGCAGAACTTTTACATAATCTGATCCTAAATGAAACCCATACATTTGTAGCAATAAGCTTGTTACAATCTTATGCTACAATACAAGAAACGAAATGCCACTTACTGTTTCCGCAGCTCCTACAATGTCCATTTTATCTCTGATAGCAGACGGCAGGATCTGACTCTGTATTGGTGTTGGCTCTCTAAATCCCTGACTCTTTAGGGCCCATAATACCTCTTTTGGTACAAAAAGATCATTCCAAGCGTCCATTCCTATAGGATAAGAAATTAAAAACACTGTATAAAATTTAGAAGTAAAAAAAAAATGCTGCTAGTGGCTTTTGTCCGACATAAAGAATCATATTTAGATGATTTTAGATTCCATTTTAGTGGATCATACTTAAAACATTTTTTTAATATTCAAGATCAAACAACACAAAAATATTGCTCTAAAGACAATAAAGAAAATAGAACTTTTAGTAACAGACAATCGCAAATATTTAATCAATGATATCGATTGCTCTGGTTAAGAGATTATAATGAACAGACTCTAACCTTTCAATGTTTTATCAACTGGTTCACCATGCTTGTCTTGTTTATTTTCTTCATTGTCATTCACTTTGTCCAATGGTTCCAACTTAATTTTCTTCACAGGATTATCTTTTTCTGTATCTAGAACATAAAAACCAATCATGTAGTCAGAGAACTGGCGTCTGGCATATTATATACATCAAGCTTAACCTAATTTACACTCAACTGTGATATAAAATTCATAGTACTTTCATTAATGAGTCTTTCAGGCAATATCTCTTAATTACAAGGAATGCTGCACTTTTACTCAGCAGTGATTTCTTATAAAGAAATATATATTATCTTCTTGTGTGATATAAATGGAATGATTAAAACAATCTGTACTGGCATGCAAGCAGTTCCCATACAAAAATCGTAGTTACTTAAAAAAAATATTTTTTATTAAGCCCACTCACCAAAAAATTGAATGTTACACACTTGCACTTAGAATAAGACTGATTCAGATAGCCTGTACATTAGTATTTAAATCATAAGGCAATACAACTTTTTTGTAAATAAATCTCTAGCTAAAGAACAAACTTACTATCAGTATTTTTCCTTTTTGCTCCTTGTGTTTTTGTTTTCTGATTTTTTTCTTGATTATCATTTAAATTTTCAGATAACATTATTTCATTAACATCTTCCACAGTCTGATGTTTTCCTTCTACCAAAGATTTTTTCTCATGTTTCTTTTTCTGTTTTTGCTTTTTACTTTGCACCTTTTTGTCTTTGGTTTGAAGTGTTTTATCTTTGCTGTTACTTGTGTCATTATTTTTTCCTTTACTTTTCTTCTTCTTTTGGTTACCATCTTTCTTTTTTGTTTTTAAGGTTTCTGGTGATTCAGTATCTGCATCATGACCTTGCCCTGTCTCAACAAAGGTCTTTCCTTTCTGAAATAATAATATATGAAACAAAACATGATTATGCATTGTGAAAAAAATATGCTATACCAACCCCATTATACAACACAAATAGTAGGAACACAAGTGGTTTAGTTTTTGTTTGTTGTCAATACAATAAAACTTATAGCTGTATATCAAATAACAAACAACTTTTTACTATATACATATAAGAAAAAACCATGACTCATGACCCATTAAAATACAAATGTATATTAGAACATTTACACATAATGAGAAAGACAATTTAATGAAGAAAAAAAAATTCTTTATAATTCTGACTAATAAATATTATGTCTTCCCAGATTTGACTTTCAATCTAAACAATCAAGGTACTGCCATTTAAAGAACAAAGGAATTGTGAATGTGAAAGTGATTACAATATCATAATGTGTTTTAAGATAAATTGATACAATTGTTCACACACTAAGTGATCTGACTTCAAAAGATTGGATATAATAAAATAGCTTATTTTCTGTCAAATTTTCAATTGAAATTTCAAGATTAGAATGATATTTTCAAAATATTTATATACTAGATGCCCAAGCGCAACATGTAAAGCCCGCTGTCACTTCTGACCTTGAGGTATGACCTTGAGCTTTGACCTAGTCAAACGGTTCAAATGATATGCCATCTCATTATGTTGAACATTTGAGCCAGGTTATTTGAAATTCCATCATCTAGTGATAGAATAATGGTGAAGACAAGCTGCTTGAGACCATTTTTTAGCATTTGACCCTGAAGTAAGACCTTAACCTTTGACCAAGCCACATGGTTCTTGTGCGCATGCCATCTCATAATGTTGAACATTTATGCCAGGTTATTTGAAATTCCTCCCAGAGTTATGGTGCGAAAAGCTGTTCGAGACCATTTTTTGGCATTTGACCTTAAGATATGACCTTCACCTTGCCAATGGTTCTTTCACATGACATGCCATTCCATTATTGTGAACATTTGTGCTTAGTTATTTGAAATTCTGCCTTCTAATGACAGACTTACTTCCCGGACAAGCATTGGACAGACGGACATGATCAAAGTTTGGTATTTAAGTGACTAAACTTTTCTTCTCTCCATAGTTCTTTTAGCCACGTAAGAGACAAAGTAGCATGAATTTGGAATCAATCTGTACAGTACTTCATTTAACCAATATAGCAGACAGGCAAAAATAGATTGTTGTTTCTATTTTACATTAAATTTATAATTACATTGTTTGAAAGTTTTTGTTAAAGACTGAGCATGAAATTGATAGAAAGTTCGGTAAACTTTTGACTAAAGCTTGAAAGACAAGACAATAGACATCAGGGATTTATTTTTTGGGGCTCATTTTATAGCCGTTATTGGGTCATATTCCCAATTGAAAATAGTATGTTATTTTCCCAATCCACAGGAAAAAATTCCCAATTGAAAGTTACAAATTAAAAAATTGAATAAAAATTCTAAAATCTTTGCAAATAAGGGCTTCTTCACTGTAATAGTGCTTAAATCTTTGAAGATGCCATCATAGACAGTAATTGTTTGCATCAATTTAATCACTGCAAAATTTCAGTCATGCACTTTTCCCCAATGTTTAACAAAACACCGCCGAAATTCCCAATTCCATGGGTATGGGTCGTGTTCCCAAAATCCTGGAAAAAATCCCTTGACATTTTTTGAAATTTATGCTTTATGAGCTGCATTTAATGAAAACAATGTCAAAAAATAACGTCAAGATATTAGGTAAAACTTCAATTTTGTATTAGAGCACAGGCAAGCCCCGACTTTAATCCAATATAACTAGAAGCCTTTGATACTCTACAATGCAAATGTGTAAATCTTTTTTGGGGGCTGGACTGTGCTGATACTTTAATTTTCTTTTTGAACCCAAAAAATCTTGAATTTTCATAATTTTGCTTGAAATAGGGGTATTTCAATTGACCATAAATCATACTAAATGTAAACATATGACTGAAAATTTATATGTTTTAAAACAGGTTAAGGATTGAACTTATAAATAAAACCGGAAAACAAAACATATGCATAACTCTTTACATAAACTTTTGGTGCAGCATAATTTTTTTTTATCTTTATGGAAATGCAATGCTCATATTATTCTCTCTTGTACAGAGAATCATTTCCTGTTTACTTTATATGTAACATTGATTTAAAGAATAAATTTTTTATGCATTCTTACTAGAACCCTGGCCTCGTGTGTTCATACGCAGAAAGTCCAAGCGGGGCCTCTCGCGAGGGCTGTAGCGCTCTTAGATAACATGTATGACGCTTATCAATTCAAATGATATCAAATTAAAAGTAAATGAAAAATTCAAAAATATATATCCTATACCTAATGAACAGTGAAAAAATCCTTAGTTAACTGGGCGCCGCCATTTCAAAATCCTTTTGAGCTAAATATAGATATCAGAGCGCTTTTAATGAGCGTCTTCATAATTCAGGCTAGTGCTAAATAACACTTCCTGTGAAAAAATGATGTACAAAATCAGAAAATAAACATGCATTTCATTGATAAGAACTATATAGTAACGATTATACATATAAAAAGTTACTTAAACATATCCTTTTTGATAAATTAGCACAGAAAAAAATAACGTTAAAATAATAACTGTGATAAGAGATAAACAGGCGGACAGGATTTTCCAAACACAGATGCATGCGCAGTGGTCCCCCTTAACGTTCGGAGATTTTCGGAATATTCCGAGCGCTCCGATAATAGGTTGAACACCACCAATTTATTTGTTTTGTTTACGGTACATATGTTTACATGCATTTACTAATGAAGTGTAAGAAAGATCTGGTTTACATGTACACTAAACATGTTTATATGCTAAAATCATAATTCATAAGAGCTCTCCGCGCAATAGGCAGCACCTAATTTCATATTACAGGGTATTCCGATAATAGAACAATCACAACTTTTTTGCTAAATACTAATTGTGGAGGTGCTCTGAGTTAAAACAGAAACGGTGCATGAAATACAAAATGACACTTTTTAGTTCTAAGACTGAAAATGCAGCTGAATTTACAGCAATGTCATTCAAAGCATGTAAACCATAACATCTAACTTCAAATTTTTCAAACTTCTGCTGTTAACTTAGAAAGATTTTAAACATTAACAAATGACAAACTGTAAACTCAAAAATTATTAATCTCGATAGTCGCGAAAACTAACGTTAATATCTCGTATACTAACTTCTCTTCCTTTCTTTTTCTTGGAACCTATTATTTCGTAATCTGTCAATTCTTGAAAACTAATCAAGCCCTCTAGATCTTCTTGGGAAAATCCAGAGGAGTCTAAATCTACAGTTTTCCAAGGTTTCTTTGCTTTCACGTGAAAAGTAGCCATTTTGATCTGAATCAATCAAGCGCATGGTCGGGTTCTATGGTACTAAAAACAATTTTTTCCGTCCGCGTTCCATGCGGGTTGCTCTCCTTTGAGGTCAGTATTTGAATTGATATTCAAATAAATCCTACACTAAAATATTTCATGACCCAGATCTCTGCCAGTGCTCCGTGACACCATTTCCTATTTCTGTTATATGTATCGATACATTGTTTCTTTTTTGTGGTGCGATTATGACGTAATTGCATAGTTCTGTGGATAGTCAGGTGGATGCCAGTGACCAAGCACCTCTGCCTTCAACCTTCTAGGTTTGCTGTAGGGGCTGAACCAAGATCCCGCTTTTAAACACAAGATTACTTTGCCCATAGCTTGGGTCCTGTTCACTGGTGGGCCATGGAAGCCACATGCTTTAGACCAGACCCCTCTCTGGACCGAGACTCTCTACATCTACATCTTACTGCTTCAAAATCGTTTATGATTACACTAAGTAGAGGTGTTTGTCCGAAAATAGCTGTTAAAACAAGTATGTTAAGTACAAACTTATAGGTAGAAGATAAAAGCAAGTTTGAAGAAGAATACCAAGACTGAGATAAAAAAATAAAATAAAAACAAAGTTAACTTAAAACTGGTGCTGTAGAAAGGATGATGCCCGGTAAAGAGATCTCGTACATAATGTAGAGAGAAAGAACGCCCATAATGGCAACATTGAAACATGTTGCATGGTCGGTTTGTTGGAGCCTGACAAAGTTGTTTATCTTGGAAATAACAACAGTTATTTTTATTACAATTACGTCGCACAGGGGCAACAAAGATAGTATCTGCGCCCAAATAATTTGCCAGATACGGCACTGAAAAAGTAAAAATATCTTATTCTGAACAAAAAATAACAATAAGAATGGATCATCAACACAAAATCAGCTTACTTTCCCGATTTCTAAGTCAGATATAAAATTAATTAAATCATACGTGCAGCTACCTCCTATAGACTCGATTAGGTTTTAATAGAGAAAATCACCAAAGGCAATTACCATTAATTTACAATGTAGGTTGATAACATATACTGCCGCAAATTGCGCCGAGAATATTAAAATTTTATTTTCCAATTATTCTTAAGACTAAGACATTAGTTTGTTTTGAAGTATTATATATTATATTATCTATATACTTGATTTTACCGAGGAAAAAAAGTACGTACTACATGTATGTTTACATGACATTTGACTTTAACTTCCTATGGCTGGTTTGCAGTTTTAGTAATTAAGAAAATGTAAAAACAAAGATCTACGAAGAAGGGGTTCAATGAACGCATCCGAACACAACCCAGCGACACAGGACCACAGGTAAGAAGTCCAGGAGGACACCAAACGATAAAGAAGAGAAAACACAATGGCAAAACACGGATCGGGTGTTATAAAAAGGGAAATGATTAGGTCTCCGAATTTTCGATCAGTTGTGTTGATAGTAGGATGAAATGATTGAAAATTTGATGATAAAAAAACCTTGTTGCAACTTGATGGCGTTAATTAAAGTTACATTAAATAAATTCCATAAAAACAGAAATAGCAACATTTCATTAATAAATTGGGTTTCATATCGACTCCAAATCTTATTTTGGTGTCCACACAACCATAATGAGTTTCATAAGCATAAAAAATGGACAACCTCATTGTGGCGAAATCGGAAGTACAATATCTGTTTGCATGAGAAACTCCGCCTTCAGATCATCCGTACATCAATATTAAATCAACAAACATGACTATAGGTAGCAGTCCTAATTTAACGGTATATTTCTGCATTGTAACAGATGTTTTCATACAAATTTAATCTTTTTTATGAGATGATTACTTTTTACTGAACCTCAGGCCTAGTGCACCGTGTAGTTAAACGGTTAAAATGTGTTTGCACAAGAAAATCTCATATTTGTTGTGTTCCGGATAACAGCTATAACACTGTGACGTAGCGCATACACAAGCTGATTATAATCTTCATTTGCATGTTAAAATTCGTATACGAACATTAGTGTTACCGTGGGGTTTTCCCTTTAAAATCCTTATTTATGAACAATATTCGATGAGATTTACAACAATACTGTTAAACAGGTTAATGAAAATGTAGAATGTTTGATTTTTAGGCCGACGGCAAAATATTTTTACATATTTATTTAATGTAACTTTAAATATCAACAAAATATAACGTGGTTAATACAAATATATTATAAAAACAGTAGTAAGTCTGGAAAATTACACCATTTCTTATCTCATTTTCCCCCATTCTTTTGGAAGAGATACCCTTCCAAACCCATCCCTCCATAATCAAGAGGCGCAACTTGTTGCTCCAATATCAAGAACCACGAGACGCACCTGATTTCTTATTATTTATAAGATTTTACAGATGATAGCTGATTGGATTTTGTGGTATTGCCCACGAAATTAAAAATTTTCTAAGAAGATCACAAACACGGTCTAAAACTTATGATGGAAAACTGGACTAGAAATCAGAAAATACATGAAATTTAGTGGAGGTAACCTCACCAATTGAAACATACAAATCAAAACTATTTCTTAACAAGACTTTAGTTACTTGTCGATTAAAACCTTCAGAAAGTCACGCCGGAAAGTTAAATGTTATACACCCTATGAGGAGGATACCATGTAAAGGTTCAATAGTAGATAAATATGTCCGTGCAGAAGAAATCGTTATCGAAGAACCCATGAATCTGTCCAGCACAAAAATAGAGAAAGCAAGAATCCCTAAAGAAAGTCCAACACAACATAATTGAAAATGTTGCAGGTTCGGTTTGATTGAGCCTGTTCATGGACGGTACTGTAAAGTGCAAACTACCATCCACGCCCCCTAGCACCGGCTTAAGCAGAATTCAACATTTATGTGTTCATATGGCGATTATCATAGAACCTTCAATGTGACACTAAGTGCCATTCCATGAAAAGAGGCATATGGTCCCCAAGTAAAAAAATGCGTGTGCCCTAAACGAGAAAACAATGGGCGGAACTAAATAAAATGGAATTTTGAAAGGGGATCAGAGGTTATGAAGCCTGCATATCACAGATAATACGTCAAAAGACAAATTTAAAAAGCAGGCCACATATCCTAAGGGTGATTCAACAGTATTCAAGTGAGGAATACTGGAACCACCCAACAAGAAAAAAAGCCAAATAGAAATAACTAAATTACCACAAGCACAACAATTATGTCGTGCTGAACGATCTTTAAGGATCGGAAATATAACATCTCTGATTGAATGTACGGGGCTTATTCAATAAGAAAATGATAGGAAATAGAGCAAACGGAATCCCAAAAGAACGCTGAAAACAGCAAAAAAAAATGTTATGCGATTTAATTGAAGGTCAAATGGCAATATAACCTGTATTGAAGAATTGAAGATGAAGATACTATGAAGAAACGAACATTTGAATGTTTCTGTGATAGCATACCTTTGGCTTTTAAATGAAAACTGAAAACTGTGAACCGTTGATGTCGATTAATTAAGACATTCAAATAAGTTTTGCATTCTATTACCAGCTTTAGCAGTATTGAACAAATACATGTGAAAATGATGGATTTAGAATTAAAAAAAAATCGCAGATATTTTCATAGGTAGGTATTACAAAACCTTGACTGTAGCACTGTCGTACCAATTCCTAAATCGTGTGTGATTCTAAGAAAATGTATGCCCTTGATGAAAAATAAACAAAACAAAACAAAGAAAAAAATCAAGTTTATGAGAAGATCAAAGGTAATAAAGTCTGCATGCTTATCACTACTTATGTCAGTAAGAAATAAAAAAAAAGAAGCAGGCAATAAATCCTAAGTGTGATTATTCATGTAGAAATAATGAACTCCTAAAATATAACTGTGAAATTGAAAGAACTTCGAGAACCAGGCACACAACAATTAAGACACGCTGAACGTTTTTCAAAGTTCAGAAATATGACAGCGCTGAATGTACGGTGGAGTTGACTATTACTTCCACAACGCTGATATGTCAATAAAATAGTGAAAATATTCATACATAATCATTATATACATTGGGACATAAGATGATTAACCGAATAAAAATGTGATTTTGTTGTCCTAAATCATTCCCAGCTCTACTAGATATTGTGGTGTCTGCGTTCCTTGTTGATCATTACACTCATATTCATGAAAAGGCAGATAACTATTTTTTAACAATGAAATATCAAAGAAAGAAAAAAAAATATATATTTCTGATTATTTGGTTTCTTTGGTCAAAGTTGATAACCAAAATAATATTTATGCAATATGAATAATATTTTAATTGAAAATAACTAAAGCGTATTTTTTTCAAATTAAAGTATTGTTTTGATTTATGAAACAAAAGTGAGATCTTTTACAGCACTATTTTCATTTCATCATCTTTCTTGTTTCGGCGCCATATGACTTAAACCACAAAACCAAACAAAACAAGAAAAAAATTCCCTTGCAGTACATTTTAAGCAAAAGGCATTTGTGAGGTATTGTTCTGTATGAACAGATTTCCACATTCGTTTTACACATTTATGAACACGTGCTGCAAATATAAAACGTCTGTCTCTTAGAATTTTTCATCTCATGTCATTTTTCTGTCTTTGTTGATGTAGTATAATGATTAATATATAGACTAATCTTATGTTTCCATTCTCGTCCACTTATTGAGTGACCAAATCTGTCAGCATTTTCTTTCACAATAGCAGAGATCTACTTTCGGATTCATCAAACCATACAAACTGCCCCTTGGCGCGGTTCGATTAACCGGTTTAAGATTTTTCAGAACAAACAGCTAAACTTTTTTAAAGCTTCAACTGGTTTTTAAAGAACAAACGGACAGTTTACCAAACCAGTTGGAAACCAAAATCATGTTTGTGCCCTAAGCCTCCGTAATAGTTTTAGTGGTGTTCACGCACAAAAAAGTGGATTTAGTCGTAAAATTACTCCCCTTGCTTACGATACTCTTTACTTGTGGAGTTACTTTGAAGATTTTATTTTTTTAGAAAATGTAGCTCGAAGAAGTCAATAAATACCTGATTTAATGCGCAGATATTAGTTATTTAACATAACTAAAATAAAGTATCGAATGCCATTGAAATAATTCTTCATTCCGATGAAAATAAGGCCCACAACGGCATGAAAAAGTTGAAACGAAATATTCTTTTCCACAGCTGTTCTTTTATTTGTTGACAAATACATTTGAGGTCAGAGGTAAATATAGAATTTCTTCTTGTAATTGTAAACGTCATTTACTATGACGAAATGAATGGCAGGTATTTAAATATTTAGTTCTTTTTTAAAAATAGATTCATCAGTGAGTTATTTAGTATCAATTTTCAATTTTTGACAAACTTACTTCATTTGCTTCAGACTAACATGTTAAACTTAAAATTTTGACATATCCCATTTTCTTGGATTGTCAGGGTTTCTCTTATTGACCTTTTAGAAAACCTAGCTAAACACTGTTTTTCGATACATTCCGGATTTAGTTCTGGGGAATTACACCCAATGAAGTACATAACACGGTAATGTAACGATTTGTCACATAACGATTCGCCACAGTTAAATAACGATTCGCCAAATGTTGAAAATACAAACCTTTTCACTCCTATATTAAAACTGTCTATGAAACCTTCTTTCCATTTTATATTTCATTTGTTATTAGTAAACATTTGTTAATAATATAACCTGGAAAATTATACTTAATACAGCTTTTATTGAATAAAAACACATGAAAACGAATATATTTTATAATTTATTACCAAAATTACAAAACTCATTGTTAAAAAGACAAAAATTAAATGACAAAAAACTAGAAGACTTGTCCTGTTTAAGCTGTGTATGCTGGTGTATTAAAATCTTCTAAATTGGCTCAATTTAAATTGTAGAGATATTGTCAGAAAATAAAATTAATATGTCTGCGTCAATTAAATATTCCTACAACAATCCTAAAATGATTGGCTTGTTACAAATAAAGGTGTGACAAATGTTTTATGCGTTCCTTAATCAATAATCGATTATTAATTTTCGTAATGAACACGAGTATTTTGCAATACCCATTTTTTAAAAATATTTGACATAAAAATATTAATTGACATATATCACTGTGCATATCCAGTAACACAAGCAAATGCAAATAACGTAAAAGTACCGCCGCATTTGTGCAACACTATTCCCCAAACTAATAACACCCGAATATTAGATTCTAAATCAAATTTAAAGAAATGAATTAGCGCATACGGCTGCTACCACATTATAGTTTAACCAACATTACATTTATTTTCAGGAATATGTTTACTTCTTTTAATCATTCGCGAGGAAGACAGCCTGATTGCCGTTTTGAAGGTGACTTTTGTGTTTTCGTCAAATAAATATGTACATTTAAACATTTAAAACATGTTTTCATATTCAATCTGTATACAGGTCTAAGACATTTGTCAAACTACAAGTGTCGTATAACTATAGAAGGAAGCTGGTAAAATAAAATTTTAGCTACTTTTAATGAGATAACCCCATTGCTTCAGTGCTTCAACCACGAATTCGGCATAACCTTTGTAAAAATGGCATCAATTACGTCTTATCTGCTAAATTAAGTGTAATATGCAGGGATCATGCTAGACCTAAAATTTAGGGAGAAGTGACTTCTCCCTCGAGTAAAAATAGGGAGAAGTTTTTAGGGACAAGGAGAAGTGCATACGGACTGCATTTTTTTTTAAGTGTTGATGTTCCATTTCATACTAAGTTTTAAGATTGATTAACATTATGTGGAGTACATAACAGTTTATTAAGTAACTCATAACAATAAACAGCAAAATTACAAATGTGGCAGTTTTTTTTCTTCTATATCATCTTTATCATAGGTTTTGTGTAGCTTGTTTTGATTTTAATGCTGCAGCCATGTGATGTTGTGCTGAAATAAAAAAAAAAATATTTTAGTAAATCAGTAGTAGGCCCCTAGGCCCTATACATGTATTTCATCATATCATATGATAGGAATATATAATTATATATTGGAAAATGTCTCAGGTGCCCAAATATAAAAAAACATAATTAAAAGATTGAATTGTTGACAAAATACTTCAAATTGAAAATCTGCGCTGGGGGCCATAACTTCATGTAACTGTACTTATATTAAGAAATGTTCTTATTGTCCTTGTCGAATTATTTAAAAAAAAAATGTTGATATAATTGAACTAGGACTAGTCTAAGGAAGAAAATTATTGTTATAATCATACTGTGGCGAATCGTTATTTGACTGAGGCGAATCGTTATTTGACCGAGGGAAATCGTTATGTAGCGAATTGTTATTGTGGCAAATCGTTACTAATTCCATAACACTATTATGTGATATTTTCATTTTTCTATCATTATTTTATCGTTTATGGTGGAAAAACTGATGTGTTTGAAAATTATTAATGTTCCTGTACTATCTATCGCAGATTTTCTAAAAAACAGTTATTTGTACTAAAAATCTGTAAAATTAAAACAGTCATTGTTGCATCTGCCATAATAGATAGAGATATTTTCTGCAGAAACTTATGTATTTACTTTATTCTTTTTGTATTGAATTATTCATACAGTAATCTTTAATTATTTTCTTACAAAGAAATAATTGTTTCATTACACTTTGATCCAAAAAAATACCAAAAACATACAGATCGTTACTACATGCCCTTAAGGTGAATTCCAGAGCTGTGTACAGAAAGTACCGGAAAACGGCGTTTAGCTAGGTTTTTAAATTTGTGAATTGTTGGGCATGCATGCTTTAAACAGATGTAATCTTCATATTTTAGTACAAGAGACATCAAATGCTGGCAATCAGGGACAGTAACTCTTAGTTTGTGCACTGACTGAGTAGCAGATACAGGAATCATGTTGTACATTTTTCATGTTGATACTGGTACCATGATGACCTTTGACATGAACCTTGCAATGGAAAAGTATGTTTAACATTTTTTTTGTGATTGCTGTGAGGTCATTTATCTTATGTTTAATAGATATATCATTTAGAATATGTAGCACATTCACATGCATTGAAACACTTGTATGCATAATATTATTACACATGAAAGCAAAAAAAAATTACTTATAATCTGATTATATATGACAAATTTTGGTTATTGATTTGAGATTTCATTGTATCCTCTGACGTCTGTTAATCTGTACCTAGGCTATTGCAGAACCTTTTTCTTCTTGTATCTGCAGACTGCTTAATTGTAATTTGTATACAAGTTCAAAGTTTGGCAACACGAAAGTGAAAGTGATTTGAAATGAGAACTTTACCTGCCAAACTGAAAGGAATATTAAATTTTGTTTAATGTTCATGTTCTTATTGATGCAGACAACTTTTAGCTATTTACAAAAAGATTGATGATTAAGTGTTGTCCTATCGAAAAAAATATGTAATGCAAATGAATATTGATGGTTGTTACAGGGTCATTAATTTGCAAGGAGTGATAGCAAGGGGTTGTCGAATATCAGAGGATAAACAGGTGCTTCTTATAAGTGGTGGAGAAAGTCTCGACCCTAATGCTGTTGTTGGAAAATACCATGCAGGAACGGTATCTTGCTCTTATATTCACATTTATTACTTTATTTATTAATGGAAGATGAATTCTATTCATCCAGGTTAAATACATGTACATTACCAGACAGAAATTCAAACACAGAATAATGAATTTAGAGAGACTTGAGCCAATTAATGAGAAATTGTTCTAAAAGTACTTTCCCATTTAAGTGTATATAAAGCTATATAGTTGCTGTCTGTGGATATTAAAATTATTCTTTATATTGTGGTTAAGATGATTAATAGAATACCTAAAATAAAAAAAACAAATTGTATATTTTATAAGTAAGTGGTGCATGTCTAAAATCATCATCAAACCTCAAATAGCTATATTTTGTTTCAGAACATTTTATTCTGTTTACATTCTATATTCGTTGATATTAAATAACATAGACATTCTATGTAACAAATTTTTCAAGAAACAAACAATCTAATATTACTGTTTTTTAACTTTTAAAAAAATCATCAGGTAAAGCTTTATACTATAATGTATACACTTAAAACTTTAATGGTAAAAATGGTGTTATTTTTGAGCTTTACATGTATTTACTTGACATGTTGGTCTGTTGTTTTAAGATATTGTTTGTCTTATGACTGCTTCAAAGGGCATCAATGCTTTCATTTTGTTATCAAAATAACAAATATATTTACCTTTTGACTTAATCTGTATCATTTATTTTATATCATTTTAAATTCTCTCATGAACAATATCATTTTTCTGCTAATTTTGTTGAGTATTAAAAGTTCAACATCTAATACATCTTATTTTTATTTTCATTACATGCCTTGTTGCAGGACACCAACCCAATATTTTTGTTTAGCAAAAGTACCATCGAAAGTGCTATACCTCCATCACCAAGTGTTAATTATGGATCAGGTAAATGATTTGTCTTTGAGTAACTTACAATATGATTATTTCGAAGTGGTATACATGTACTAATGGTCATTGTGGTACTGATAAACTTGTTCTAGTCCTTCTTTGCACCTTTTTTTCCCCTGTATTTTTTTGAACCTATAATCTGCTAAAGTCTTGTCTTGCTTTGAAATTTGGAATAGTCAAATGAAAGTTTAAGGATATAAATATTAAAATACAAAAATGAAGATACCAACAGTATAGAGCCTGGTCAAGTCAGACTGCACAGATGTGCATGCTGGCCTGGCTCTATACTGATTAAAAATGCTGATCACTTTTCATTCTAGCAGGTCAAGGGTTAAGTGCTTTGTTATCCTACAATGCTTTGAAATTAAGTTGCATAATACAGCCTTATATTAAGAGTTTGATTTACCTAACATAACATATCAAAATTTCAGACATAGATCTACAAGGTCAAGTTGAAGGTTCACTTTTGATGCCACCAGCTTATGAGACAGTTGTATCAAGGGCTCAGCTTGCTTTGGTAGGTTTTAAATGTTTTATGATATAGATAAAGCATTAGTCTTAATTTGTTTTTATTGTCAATTTGAATGAACATGTAAAGTTGACTCTCGGTAACTCGAATTTCAAGGGACTGGGCATTTTACTTCGAGAGAAACGGAATTTGAGTAACGTGGATCTGCCGTTTCGTTGACATTTGTACATGTATATACATGTGCCTGATCGAATGCGCAAAGTAGGTTTGTTATTGTTGATAGCGCCAACGTTGCAATATTTAACCGTTGAAATGACGGTAAATCACTTACAACTACAAATTATAAATGAACAAAAATATATATTATTCAAATTTTAATACATGTACATGTATATTAATAGTGGAACATAAACACAAACATTCGTAGCAATGATATAAATGCAAGTTTGTCAGTATTCATCAGTATTCATCAGTAAAGCACTCATGACAATTCATTACAATAAAAACACAATGACACATTTATTTCAACAACAGTTTATCTAAAATTTAAAGTGAATTGATGATTAAATCTTAATTTAGTTATCTAACTGTTAAAACAAATTAAGTTCTGAAACCGATTAAAGTCGCTTTAACGACGTGTTAATAATGCATGATGACCGGTAATTAAATTTACTATGCAACGTGTGAATCACTGGTGACAACATCTCACCTTGATGTCGCCGACCTTTGATCAGTCGGCTGTTTTTACACTTAGACTAATTGAGATAAAAATATGTTGGACTTTAATTGACGGGACCAAATTTTCTTTTCGACTAAACAGGAATCTCGGTAAGTCAAAATTTGACCTAAGCGGAGTTAAAATACAAAGATAAAGAAGGAAATTTGACGGGACTTTAGAAATTATTCGACTAAGGCGGAATTTTGAGTAAAGCGATTTTGACTTATTGAGAGTCAACTGTATATATGAAGTTTGAAAACAATTATTTATATCCC